ACTCTTTGCATCTCTGAAGTATTTTTCTATAGGGTAGTCTTTGGTATAGCTTACTCCTCCCATCCACTAGATGCATTTACTAGTCGTAAGTCCTGCAGTCTCTGATGCAGAATATTTGGCCATAGCTGCTTCATTTATGAATGGCCTCCCAGCTTCTCCAAGCCAGGCAGCATTGCATGCTAGTAATCTTGTAGCTTCCAGCTGGGTGGCCACATGAGCCACCTGGTGTTGAAGCCCCTGAAAATCAAGTCTTCTTTTGCCAAATTGTTCCCTTTCTTTAATATATGGAATGGTGAAGCCCAAACATCCTTGGGCAAGTCCCAGCATCTGTGCAGCAATTCCTATAGTAGCTTCGTTAAGAATTCCTATGGCATATTTATAGCCATGTCCATCTTGTCCCAAGATACTGGCTTCTGGAACTGTGACATCTTCAAATGTTAGCGGGCAGGTGCAAGAAGCTCTGATCCCCATTTTGTTTCCTGATTTCCCTACAGAAGGCCTTCTGTATCGTGATCTACTAAGAAGCACGTGATTCCTTTATATCCAGTGGTAAGGTTTACATTTGCAAAAACCACGAAGAGCCTTGCATGCCCTGTTCTGCCAACCCACAAATTTGACCCACTGATGACATAAAAATTTCCCTTTTTACCAGCTCTGGTCTTCTACCTTTGAAAGGCAAAAGCTTCGTAGATATTCTGTAATCAGCTTAGGCAAATAGGTGGCCTTTTGTCCTGTTCTGTTTTATAATTAGCTTGTTGCTGTGTCCTGAAGGTCACACAGGAAAGCCACAGATGCATGACTTTGGCTAATTCCTCTATCACTAAGATGGAGGGAAAAGTGAAGCTCCTGTTCCTCCATGTTCTGCACCAACTTTTTTTTTTTTTTTTTTTTGTCTTTTTGAGACAGGGTCTCGTTATGCAGTTCAGGCTGGACTTGAGCTCACTTTGTAGCCCAGGCTGGTCTCGAACTCGCAATGATCCTCCTGCTTCAGCCTCCTGAGTGCTGGGATTACAGGCATGCGCCACCATGCCCAGCCCTCTGCACCAAATTCAATACCCCTCAGTCCTTGTTGAAATAATCCTCATATTCCTGATTTCTCCATTTTTGAATTTTCATCCATGGTTGAAACCAAAGGAGCAATTTTATTCCTGTGCGAATTGTTTAACTGTGCTCTTCACCATCATTTCGTCATCTGTAAATGTCCGCAGCAGAGCACAGGGCAGCAGAGCCTCTGGCTGGGAAAATCTTAGGACACGAGGAGGAACTTTGCAGGAATTCCGGCAAGTTGGGAAGTATCGTCTTAGCAGCCCACTGCCGTGCAGCAACCAAGTGCTGGTCCTTCCATCCTTGCTGCAGGCCAGGTCTCTCAGGTCACCCCTTTGTGTTTGCATCTACCGAGCTCCTACCTCCCCAGAAAGCCCAGTTCAGGTGTTACCTCCTCTATGAAGTCTCCCACAATTGCTCCTCTAGAATCCTTCCCCTTCGGATCTGTGGGTCCTCTCTTTGACCCTGCCTGCTTTGGCTACTGCACCTGTCTTTATACAATCTGCCAGAAGCCCTCAGCGCCAGGAGGATGTGCCCATCTGAAGGAGCACATGATTACATGCATGAATGAACAGGCCACGTCCAGCCTTCACAATCATGTTTGAGTCCTCTCCAGATCCCCTCCTTATCTCTGTGTGGCTGCTGTGGGGAGGAGCAGAGCTCTGCCCCAAATGCTTTCCATTCCTGCAGTGCTGTGTGACATCAGCTTTATCTGGGAACATCTCTGAGCCCCTTAATCATCTGCCCACCAGAGGCTGTGCCCAGAGTTTCCTTCCAAGTGGCCAATCTCCACTGTGCCTGACTCAAGCCTAGCCTAGCGCAGAAGAGGATTCTATTGATTCAACACTCAATTTAAAACCAGACTTTGCAGTAAATAATTATTTTCATAGAATTGTTGCAGTCCATGGACAGACACAAATCATGTGAAAATAATTGCATGAGACAGAAGTGTCCCTGAACGGGCTGGCTGTGGTTTTTCTCCTTCTTTCTTTTCTTTCTTTCCTTCTTTGTTTATTTTGAATCTTGCTAAGTTGCACAGGTTGACCTTGAACTTATGTTCTTCCTGCTTCAGCTTCCCAAAAGCTGGCATTACAGGTGTGTATCACCATGCCCAGCTTGACTTTCTTTTTCCTTCTTTTTTTTGATGTTGTTTGTTTTTGTTTTTTTCGTAGTACTGGGGATTGAACCCAGGGCCTTTGCACTGAGCTAGATCTCCAGTCTATTTATTTTGTGTGTGGGGGGGTTGTTGTTGTTTTTTGTTTTTTTCTGGTACCGGGAATTGAACTCACAACCTTGTGCTTGCCAGGCAGGTGCTGTGCCACTAAGCTAAATCCCCAGCCCCTATTTATTTATTTTTTAAGACAGGCTCTTTCTAAGTTACTAAGACGCCCAAGCTGAGCTCAAGCTTGCAAACTTCCGGCCTCAGCCTTCCAGAGTACCAGGATTACAGGCGTGTGCCACCACAACCTGCTGAAGTTTTCATTATTATTGAAAGTTTTTGTTGAATTAAACATAAAAACATTACTTGCAAAGTAAGCACACTCATAAAAGCACTGCCTAGATCAAGGCCCAGAATGTGCCTGGCTGCCAGAGCTCCTTCATGCCTCTCTGGTCTCTGTCTCCTAAAGAGAACCACCTGTCTGACTTGTAACCATGCTGAACAGCTTGCGTAGATTTGTATCCTTTCTGCTAATGGAAGAATGTGGTGGCTGCATTTTTCTTTCTTTCTTTCTTTTTTTTTTTTTTTTTTGAGACAGGGTCTTGCTATGTAGTTCGGGTTGGCCTTGAACTCACTAAGTAGCCTAGGCTGGCCTTGAACTGGTGGGAACTCTCTTGCCTCAGCCTCCCACAGCACATGGAATCTCTATTTTTGACTGGCTTTTTTCATTCAGCAGAATGCCAGTGAGCTCCATCCCTGTATATATCAGTAGCTCTTTTCGTTGTCATGCAGTGGTTGTGCACAATGCATTTAACTAACTGTACCAAAGCCTGGTTGTCTGGGGAGTTTCCAGCTTGGAGCAGCTGATAATAAAGTGTCTGTAGACATCGTTATTTTCCGGTGGCCGTCAGCCCCCCTTCCACCCAGTTACGTACCAGGAGTGGAACTGCTGGGTCACAAGCCATGAGTGTGGCCTGAGTGTGCATTGCTGGGTGGCGCTGTAGGAGGGGTCCGAGCTGGTGTGGGTGGGGGTTCCTAGGGTGCCCGGAACACAGACTGCGGTGTAGGTGGGACCCAGAAAAAGCCCGTGGCCATGAAGGGACCTAGCAAAACCACCAAGGGAAACCTGCACTCTGCTGTAGCCCCACTAGTCCCAGGCCAGTGAAGCCCTTCACAGGGCCAGCTCCATCTAGGTCCCCACTGTCCTCCAGGGCAGCGTGCAGGCCAGCTCAGGAACTGCTGAGACAAGGTCAGCCCTCCCGCGGTCTAGGCCGTGGCGTGGCCTCACTGCCTGCAGAACGAGCAAGGGCCGGGACGCTGTGCTTCAGATGCCAGGGGGCCCCCAGCAAGAGCCCTCTGCCAGCTCCACCCTAATCAGCTTGCAGACACCAGCCCTGGCCCTCAGTGATAGGGACTGGGGAGCAGGAAGAGAGCCCAGGCACGGAGCCAGTATCACTCCCCAGCCCATCCCTCCACTGGCAAATGCACCTGTGCCCAAAATGCCCTCCTGCCTTAGCCAGGCCACCCCCCCAGGTCTAATGGCCCAAGGCTTGGGGGCTCCATCTCCAGCCCTGCCGTGTCCCTCATTTCTTGTCATTTGCTTTTGTATGGGTCGCTCCAGTCCCAGGGGCCTGGCCCTGGGAGTGAAGATGGGGGTCAAAGGTGCAGCCCGAGGGAGATACCGACCTCAGCATGGTGCTCGGGGACAGCTGAGTGCAGTATGCAGGAAGGCTTCCCCAGAGTTTTGGTCTGAGCACATCTGAAGGGCAAAAAAGGGAAACGGTGATTCCAGGCTGAGGGATCACCCACTGGGAGGTGCTCAGAGACCCAGAACTATGGTTCACACCTGGATTTGGCTCAACTGCGAAGAGGTAAAGGAGTGAACTGCTGCAGCAGGCAGTGAGGCCCAGCAGGCCCTCGGGGCATCAAACAGCTCTGGGCCGTACCTCTAGGCTGAGGTCTTCACCCTAAGGCAAGGCTCTAGTCCCTACAGTGCCCAGTTTAGGGTTGATATAAAATCTCTTGACGATGTCTTTTCTTGTGGTATGGGCGACTGAATCCAGTGAGCACCTAACTTCATTTCTAGCCCTGTAATTTGTTTTATTTTGAGACAAGGCTTTCTAAATTGTCCAAGCCAGCTTCAAACTTGTGACTCTCCTGCCTCAGCCTTTTGAGTAGCAGGGATTACAAGTGTGGGCCCAGCGGCAGGCTTTCTTCACTGTACCCTTGGTAGTCCAAGAAATCAGGCAGGGACCTTGCTGAAGGTGAGATGTGGAAGGAAAAAATGGTCAGCCCTACTAAGCATTCACCTCAGGTCCCTGTAGAGTTTCACTGTGACCCAACAAGTTGACTGTTCAGCCAGGGACTAAGTGTTGTCGGGGTTGGGAGGAGTTTTCAATCCTTCTGCGCCAAGGCCGGCCCCAACCTTGAGCCGCTGAAGGAATCCACAATACAAAATCTGCACGAAACTAGCCGCGTATGCATAGTTGGGGCGGGGGATCTCATTTTAAGCGGCCCAAGGACTTGGGTCCACGAGCCTCAACAGAGTAGCGGGGTCGGAACTCTGCTTGCTGGCCACACTCCGCCGGGCCACTGCGCCCCCTCGCGGCCACTGCGGTCCGTGGCGGGGTACGGCTGCCCAGGGCTTCCGCGTGCCCGCAGCGGGTGTGGCCGTACCGGCCCCCTCCTGGAGTGCGAAGCAAGGGCTTCCACAGGACTGCGAAGTCCTCCGGGGTACCGGAGGAGAAAGCGACTGCGCAGGATCGCGGAGCACTGTGCAGGGCCACGCCCACGCCGACCACCACGCTACTGCGCAGGCGCTCCCGGCTGTGCGGCGCCATTGCTCTGCCGTTCCTACCGGGGTCCTGTCGGAAGTCCACAGGACGGAGGGAAGGGAGAGCACTACGTCTCGACGACGGTGGCCTCGTGCTGCAGATGCAGCCCAGTGAGGCCTGCGTACCCGCTTAGGCCCAGCTAACCAGTAAGGAACTACAACTCCCAAGGTGCTTTGCGCTCGGGCTTGCGAGGGGCAGTGACGTAACGGACCTTGGCCACTACCGGTGCTCTAGAGCGAGGGGAAGGAGGTGGCGAGGGCTGATGACGCGCTCAGCTTCCGGGTTCGACGGGAAGGTTCAATCCTTCCTGCTTGACCAATTTAAACTGGCACCTTTTGCTTTGTTTTGATTTGTTTTTTCTTTTGTGGCACTGGAATTGAAACGAGGACCTTCGTACAAACCTACATCCCCCGTCCTTTACTTTTTTTTTTTTTTCTTTAACAATTTTGAGACAGAATCTAGTGGCCACATTGTCCAGGCTGAGCTCCAATTTGCAATCCTGCCTCAGCCTCCCAGAGTACTGGGATTACAGGCATGTGCCACCCTGCCCAGCTGACAGTTAGTTTGACCTTAACTGTGGCTATTTGGTGGCTGACTCTGTACCCGCTACCTTTCAACCCCAGAGCCGCTACTGAGCCAGATAACATTATTACTAGTTTTTTTTGTTTTTTAAATTTTATTTATTTATTTGTTTGGTACTAGGAATCGAACTCAGGACCTTGCACTTGCTAGGCAGACACTTGTGCCACTGAGCTTTATCCCCAGCCCCAATTACTAGTTTTTTTGGAAATAATTTGACCAACTCTCATATACCCTTTGAAAAAATTCTCCAGTTAACATTTTTGGCCCCATTTGCTTTATCATTTCCTCTCTTTTATACCTTTTTCCCAGGACTATTTGAGGTAGTCGCAAATGTGGTATCCCTTTATAGAGGCATATCCCTGTATATTTTCTGAAAACAAAGTCCCCTTCCTACAAAATAATGTAACAACGATCAGACTTTTTTCTAAACCACAGTTGTCCATATTTAAATGTTTCCAGTGTCCTAAGAAAGCCCTTTATGGAAATGACCTTTTCTAGGTCCAGGATCTGTTCCAGGAGTACCCATTGCATGCAGCTGTCAGGATCTTTAGTTTTTCCTTCTGTCTTATGCAGCTCTGGGTTTTCCTGGACACTTCTGGAGACTCCTGGCCAGTTGTTTGTACAACTAAGGTTGAGTTTGTCTAAAGTTTCTTCACCACTGGGCTCTGTGTTTTGGTGCTGTCCAGGGACTTGTATTCAGAGGCTGGTGTATGTCTTGGGCAGGTGCCCAGAATCAGCATCTGAGCCACAGCACACATGTGTCCTCTAGGACAAATTCACAAACGAAGCCCCTGGCAGGCCCCACCCTTCAGGTGCTGCCTCCAAAGCTGACTTTCCGCTCTCACCCAGGCCTGTGCTTCCTGGAATACCGTTCAGTCATGGTTCATGCCTTCCTCATCCATACCTTGAGGGCCCCGAAAGGAGAGGACACAGGCCTTTGCCGAGTGCTCTACTCTTGTGTCTTTGGAGCTGAGAAGTCGCCGGATGACACGCGGCCACATGGTGCAGAGAGGGACAGGCTTCTCCGCAAGGAGCAGATTTTGGCCGTGGCCAGGTAATCCTATAGCTCAGCCCCAGGCTTCACTGAACACGTGGCCAGTTATGATAGGTATTGGGGGGGGCGTGACACAGAGAAGCAGAGAGAAATTTTTATTGTGTTTACTCTTTGGGACAGGGTCTCACTGAAGTTCAGGCTGGCCTTGAAAACTCATTCTGTAGTCCAGTCTGGTGATCCTCCAGCTTCAGCCTCCCAAGTGCTGAGATGTGGGCATATACCACCACGCCCCAGTGCAGTTTTAGAGTGATGTTTCTTCTGGTCTTCTGCAGGTGTTCATGAATGTTAATAGGAAGAAAGCTTAAATCATAATGCTAGTATCAGTATTATTATAGTTAGGATTTATTGAACCTATATGTTATTGAACATGCTTTGCAGTGCGGACTTCTCCATAGACTGTGTCTCGATGGTAGAGAGAAGGTAGCGCACAGAGGCTTTTTTTTTTTTGGTATGGGGAATCGAACTCAGGACCTTGTGCTTGCCGGGAGGCGCTTGTGCTGCTGAGCTATATCCCCGGCCCAACAGAGACCCTTTATAGCTGGGGTCTCCTGAAAGTCTGGCCTCCACAGCACAGTTTGGAAAACCCTTGACTACCCCCACCCAGCCCAGCTCCAGACAGAGCAGCAGGTGCCACTCTGTGTTCTGGGTACCCCGTGCCAGCTCCTTCCATACCTGTGTTCTTCTTGACCTCATTTCCCTCCCTGGAGCACAGAAGACCAAACAAAGGCCTTTACATTGAGCCTTTCCTGGACTGGAAAGCAATTCAGGAAGGATTGGAGGGATCTTCTATCAAAAGTCTTGATGGGTCAAGCATTGTAGCACACTCCTATAATCCTCAGGAGGCTGAAGCAGGAGGATTGCTGAGTTCAAGCCTGGCCTGGGCTACATAGTGAGTTGAAGCCCAGCCTGAACTATAGAGTGAGACCCTGTCTTAAAAACAAAAAGTCCTGCGGGTCACAGGGAAGAAGGGAAGGACCTTTTTACTCAGAAAGGAGGGCAGGAAAGGATGAGGGCAGGAAGGCTGGCCTGGCAGGCTGAGCGATGGCGCTGACTCTGTGAGGCAGGAGGGGTGGCTTTTCCTCCCCTGGGACACTTTTCCTGTCCAAGGTGCTGGCTTCAGAACCTGCCTTCTGGCCACATGGAGTCAAGTGAGTCAGGGCTGTGAGGCTGAGGACTCCATTCCCAAATAGGGTCACTTTTCCGGGCTGTGTGGCCCTCAGTGGGTCACTTGGTCTCTCTGAACCCGTTGTTCACCTGAGATGTGATGAAGGCAGCTCCCAACTCCAGGGGTGTCATGAGGACAGAAGTTGGTGTGGGGGCTCCTCACCCACCAGCCTGACCTGCCCCCTTGCCCCAGGCAGGTGGAGTCGATGTGCCAGCTGCAGCAGCTGGCATCAGGCCGCCCATCCTCGGACCTGCAGTCCCAGCCCTCCGACGAGCCTGTGGCCCTGCACGAGGCCCCACAGGGGGTCTTCGGGCTGGCGGCAGGGGACCCCTTCCAGGAGCCTCGGACTGTGGTGTGGCTGGGAGTGTTGTCCCTAGGCTTTGCCCTGGTGCTTGATGCCCACGACAACCTGCTGCTGGCCGAGAGCACGCTGCGCCTGCTGGCCCGCCTCCTGCTGGACCACCTCCGCCTGCTGGCCCCCGGCTCCAGCCTCCTGCTGCGGGCCGACCACGTCGAGGGCATCCTCTCCCGCTTCCTGCCTCACGGCCAGCTGCTCTTCCTCAATGACCAGTTTGTCCAGGCTCTGGAGAAGGAATTCAGTGCTGCCTGGCCCCGCTGACCCTCCCTGGCATGGGCTTCCCACCAGGGCGGGAAGGGGGCATGGATTGCACACACAGCTAGGGGAGGCTTGATGTCTGCTTTGCCCGGCCTTCTGCCCACACTGATGTGCCCCACGCCCAGGACCCTGGGCGAGACAAACTGGTAGCAAGGGGGCTGAGCAGCGCTGTGGGGGGCTCTGCCTGTTCTCGGGTCAGTGGGATCACAGAACATCCTGAGCCCAGAGGTACCAGGTGACTCCGACCACTGCAGTGTGTTGGCCATGCTAGTCCTTGACCCCAGCCCCAACTAGGAAGGGCCGCCTGGAGTGCACCCCGCTTCCAGAGCACCAGTCACCACTGCACGAAGGGGCCCCTGAGACAGCCCTTACAGTGGGGAGCTGGTTGGCACTGTGCAGGCCCTGGTCCCTGCCTTTAGTCCCCTTAGACAACATCGTGGGGGACTTTGTCCAGAGAGAGGACATACTCACTGACTCTCCTCATTCGCCATCGCCGAATGCCTGGATGACGTCTTTCTCATTTCCTATTAAAAGTACTGGCTGTGTGACTTCACCCGCTCTTGCTGTGAGTTTCATGATTACAGTCTGCTCCTGTGGGTAAGCGTCTCTCTCCAGCCAGGTGCCTTTGTTTTGTGCTCTAGGATCCGCTTAAGAGATTTCTTAGCGAGACCCTGTCTCAGGAAGACACATACACAAAAAGAGATTTCTTAGGAGGCTTCTTTTTTTGTACCTCACCTCACCTCTTTCTCCTTACGTACCTCCTTTGGATGGTGGCACCTGCTTCCTCTATCAAAATGTGCGTCACCGGTGGCAGGCTAGCGTGCACCCCGAGAACAGAGCCTGAGGCAAGGATTAGGCACAGGTGGCTGATCTGAGGTGCTCCCAGGAAGTCAGAGGGGAGGCAGCCTTCGGGTGTGCTGTCATTCCCCGCCGACAGGATGGGAGTGCACTGCTCAGCCTGGGCCAGTGTACCTCTGAGGGGTGAGGTGGGGAGGGCTGTGCTGCTTGCCCTCTCTCTTCAGCCCCTAGTTGCCTTGCCAGCCAGTCCTTGGCTTTTCTATCCTCAGAAAAGGCCCTCAGTTATGGCACTGCACTTGCTGCACCGCAATGAGGCCCAAGGGGATGTGGGTGGGACACCAGACACCAGCTGGTAAGTCTTTAATGAGCAGTTTTTAGTGATGGTTTCAAATCACTCACCTGAGCCGGGCATGGTGTTGCACGCCTGTAATCCCAGCAGTCTGAGAGGGTGAGGCAAGAGGATCGAAGGTTTGTCTCCAGCCTGGGTAACTTGGTGACTCATTGAACCAGTCTCACAATAAAAAGTACAAAAAGCGGGGGCTGTAGCTCAATGCTAAGGCTCTGGTTTCAATCCCCAACTTTCGATCTTCCAGCTTCAGCCTCTCAGAGCACTGGGATTACAATTATGCACTACTATTCCTGTCTTAGATTTTATTTTTAGGACCAACTTTTTGGACTGGGGATGTTGATCAGTGGTAGAGCACTTGTCTAACATGCATGAGGCCCTGGGTTCAGTCCCTAGTATTGCAAAAAACAAGTAATACAGAGAGTTCCCGTATACTCCTGCCTTCCACACATGCACAACCTCCCATTCTCAGCATCCTGCACCCGAGGGGCCCTTTTGTTACAACTGAGGAGTCTGCGTTGACACTCAGAGTCCATAGTTTACATTAGAATCCACTCTTGGTATAGTGCATGCCATTAATTTTTTTTTTTTTTTTTTTGAGACAGGTTCTCAAAAAAATGCCAGGTTTGAACTGACTATGTCACTGAGGCTGGCCAACTCATGGTGATCCTCCTGCCTCAGCGTCCTAACCGCTGAGATTACAGGTGTGCACCTCCACGCCTGGCCACACTGTGACTTCTTTAATGATGTGTGTCTGTCACAACAGTGTCCTGCAGAGCAGTCTCAGTGCCCTAAAAACCTCCTGTGTACCACCTGTCCAGCCCAACTCCTGGGGACCACTGGTCTTCTTACTGTCTCAATGGTTTTGCCTGTGTCAGTGTCATATAGTTGGAATCACAGCTGTAGGCTTTGGTTTCTTTCACTTAGTTGTTGTTTGTTTTGAGATAATGTCTCACTATACAAGCCTTAAACTGGTCTTGAACTCACAGTGATCCTTTTGCCTTAGTTTCCTGAGTGCTGAGATTACAGGCATGTACCACCACTCCTGCTTTTTTTTTTTTTCAGTACTGGGGATTGAACCCAGGGTCTTCATACTGACCTACATTCCCAGCCCTTTTTTTTTTTTTTTTTTTTGTCTTTTTGAGACAGGGTCTTGCTATGCAGCTCAGGCTGGCCTTGAGCTCACTTTGTAGCCCAGGCTGGCCTGAACTTGCAACGATCCTCCTGCCTCAGCCTCCCAAGTGCTGGAATTACAGGCATGCACCACTACGCCTGGCTCTCCCCAGCCCTTTTTAATTTTTTATTTTGAGATAGAGTCTCGCTAAATCTTTTAAGATGTCCAGGCTACATTCAGACTTGCAGTCCTCTTACCCCGGCCCTCCAGGGTGTTGAGATTATAGGCGTGTGCCACCAAGCTCATTTTTAAAAATTTGCTGAATGATAAACCGTTACATGGACGGACCAGTTTACTCACCCATCGCCTGCTGAAGACAGCTTGTCTGCTTCCAGGCTTTGGCAGTTCTAAATAAAACTGCCATGAATGTGTGTGCAGGTTTTTGTGTGAACATAGTTTTCAGTTCAGCTGTGTGGATACCAAAGAGTGTGCTGGCTAGATTCTGTGGCAAGAGCGAGAAGCGGGGGTCCAGCGCCCCGCCAGAGGTACTTTGTCTTTCTCTTTCTTCCATCGTTCACAGCCCCAAATTCTTGTGTCATCTCAGGGAGACTGGCTTTGGTCACAGGCACTACATCAGATGCCCCTTGAGACTGGCTTTGGTCACAGGCACTACATCAGATGCCCCTTGAGCACCTCTGGTGATTCCACCCTGCAGCCTCTCTGGATGCTTCTGTCCCCCACTCTGACCCCCCAGGGCCCCTCTCCTACCTGTGACAGCGAGGGCAGGTGGGCACGGCACACACGCAGTGCCCCATTGGACACGCTGGTGAACTCTCATCCTGTTATGGGGCTCCATGACACCTCAGAAAGCCTCTTTCAGGTCATTTTATTTTGCCTGCTGTGATTTGCATCTCAAGTAGAGCAGGCTGAGCTGACTGCACTCAGAGCTGGGAGCCCTCAGGACCTTTGCACAGAGGCAGCCCGCAGCTGGGGCTGCTAACCTGGAGGGCAGCTGGACAGCCGGGGAGAGCAGTGAGCTGTTGTATGAGGCCCAGAAACTGCCAGGAACTGCTGGCTCTGGCTGCTCGGAGGGCTCCAGGCAGCTGCCAGTAGCTGCTGGCCACAAGTGCTAGGAGGGCTGCTAACACAGGGAGCTGTTGAAATTTGCAATTCTTTGAAGACGGGTCTTACTGAATATCTTGTATATGCTTGCTTGCTTCCTATCTGTATATCTGCTTTGTTGAGGTGTCTGTTCAGGGTTTGTGTTTTGTTTTGTTTTTCTTTTCTCCTTTTTTTTTTTTTTTTTTTTTTTTTTTT